CGTGATAGAAAGCAAACCTTGTCCTCGAGAGTGTTCTCACTTCCATCTTATGATTGCTCCCGGACCAAGTGTCTATCCTGCATCAGAGCTGGAAGTAACCTTGGACAAGGCCTTTCTTGATGCTTCAGCAGCTGCTTCCCGTGATGAAGATGATGAGGATGTTTGGCTCCCACAGCTTACCTGTCACACCTGTTCTTCTCAGGACATCATATAAACTGACGGGTTTCATTCTCTCTACAACCCTAAGAGGACAGTGCAGTTGACATGCCTACTGTACAGAACACAGGGGCACAGGGAAGGCACAAGTCACTTAACCAATACTGCACAGCCAATCAGGGGTGTCAGTGCTGAGATTCAGCCCAAGCCTGGCTATCATACACTATATGATCTTGTAATTGTGGCAAAGACAAAAAGAGTTCCCAGGCCCTCCCACTCTTGGATTTGAGGAGGAAACTTTACCAGCCCTTGTAGATCCAATGATGACCCAGGAAGGGAAGTGGACAACCCCCCAGGGAAGAGGAGGACTACAAAATGGTTTTCAAGAGCTTAACCAAGGCCAAGAACCAAGGCCAAAGCTGCAGCGGTTCCTGGAGATGACTGAGAACTGTACCAATGTGTGAGGCATAAAAACACCTCAAAGGCCTTTGCTTGGAGATGGCGCAGCCCTATGGGAATAACTAAGTGAACTGACTTCCAGGAGCCTTAGCTTTCTCTATGTAATACAAGGAAATTTGCCCCCCAAAACTTGACCTTTTTTTTTCATGGTTTATATACCCTGACCAATTAAAAACCTGAGCACAGAGGTGAAAGGAACTTTGGCTTCCTTACTGAGCTTCCTCTATCTGCCACATAGTGTAATTATTCCTCAATATGTCTTTTGGTTACCCTCAAGGAAGACAATGGCATTAGCAATAGAAAGTACTAGAGATCCTCTGTAACAATACTATGCCCCTATCCAAAATGCATGGTAGAAAACTCCCCCTTACAATGTAGAAGAAACCATCTTTGAGTCTAGCCTTATATACTGAACCAGCCCCCCCCCCCTTTTTCAAATAAGACACTGAGACTATAAAAGAGACTTCTGCTTCAGGTTGGCTGGAATAGATACCAAACGCCTTGGGAAAGTTATACTTTCTAACATTTCTAATGTGTTACTCCATGGTAGCGTCTGCTCTGGGGCCTCGGAACAAGTATACACATCTGGACAGCTAATCTTCCAGTCACTGGGTTCAGATGGGAAAGGAAGCCAGAGAGTGAGCTTAGGCACCAAGACCAACTCTCTAGTTTGTGAAACAGCTCCAAGCCAGTACAGAGAAATGCCCGTAACCCTTTAGCCACGCTGGTCACACCTCCCCTCCTCTCATCAACCTTCCATTAATAAATGGGAGGGATTGTAGCCCTGTGTTTTAAGAGGATCTAGTTGGGTGTAGTAGTAGGGGCCCTCCATCCCAGGATTCCTGAGGAGGGGCAGGAAAATCTCCAGTTTGAGATCAGCAGGAGAAGGTCTCAGAAAGGAAGGAAAGGGCAGGGGAGAGGAAGGAGAAGGAAGGGGGGACTAGAAGGAGAGAAGAAGGGGAAGTGGGGAGAAAAGCAAGAGAAACAAGTGGGGAAGAGGAGTACAGAGAAGGGGGAGGCAAAGAAAAAAAGGGGGGAGGGGAAAGAAGAAATGGATGGGGTAAGAGGGGAAGGGAGGGGAAACATTCATTATCCCAGGGAAGACACATAGATCTCTGAAGTAGCTATCTAAATGCTTCAGAACAAAATAGCACTTTCCTAAGGAAAGGGGGGGGCATACTGAAGAACTGAGTTTAATAAGAAAAGGTGGTCCTGGGGGTGGGGGGAGCATTCCCTGCACGTCTGTCTGTGTGTGGTAAAGGGGGAAGGGTGTTGAAAGCAGAGAAAGCTGTTCAAATTAGCCTAAGATGGAGTTTATAGATGAAATCAACACTTACCTCTGTTGTTGCTACACCATCTCATTGTTGAGGATTAACAAAGGGACCACTGTCTCTTTAAGCTATTCAGTGCTTGGAGTTCCCAAGTGGAATCAATCTCTCTCTCTCTCTCTCTCTCTCTCTCTCTCTCTCTCTCTCTCTCTCTCTCTGTGTGTGTGTGTGTGTGTGTGTGTGTGTGTGTGTGTGTGTGTATTCCTAGTCCTCTCCTAGTCCACTAACTTGAATGGGAGGGAGACCAAGTTGGTGTTGGCTCGACCCTAGAGAGGAGAAGATTTCAAAGACACCCTTAGCTTTTGACATAGAACATAAGTATGTCCAAAGAGAGAAGGGCTCCAGAACAAACCGCCTGCCCTTGGAGTCCTCTCTCTTCCCACTGTCCTCAATACGAAAAAGAAAAGTGGATTAAGATGCTCTCAAACTTGGAAACATGTCCAACACCCCCACCCCCAGCTTCTGGAAGGAAAGTATATGTGCTTGACTTCAGAATCCTGAGTGTAACCCAAAGTGAAAATTAATCACCACATAGGAAAATTGAGCTTGTATGGAAGAGAACTGAGCAAGAACAGCGAATCCAGGAGCATGGCTTGTTCCCTTCCACTGCAGGCCCCCAAACCTCAACCATCCTCCTCACTGACTTCCTTTTTAGGAAAAGAAACACACACAACAAAAATCAAAACACTGTACTCTTCCTTTCATGTGCACCCGTACACACACACACACACACACACACACACACACACACATTTTGCTTTTTCACTTGTAAAAGCAGTGGTCTATCAAATCCTGTGGAACATTTTTTTGGCTTTCAGTCATGAATCTTTAACTGTGAAGGCTGGCGGTTCAAAACAAAACGAAAGACCCAAGGACTCTTCTCCTTAGCTGCTTGTACTGGAAATGTGCTTCCTCCGTTTCCCCACCGCACCAACTCTTAGGCAAAACTGTCTTTTTGCACACAGAGAGAAAGAAACCAAACCAACCCAGACAAAGGGAAGCAGAAGAGGCACCCCCACCCACCCACTTCTCCCTTCCTACCAGCTGTATGGGGCCCATGGTAACCCTTGGCCAGCTGGAGTTTGGGATGGAAGTAAATTAACTGGAAACCTCAAGTCACTGCTGCAGTCAACTGGAAAGAAAGGGTGGATGCCAATGCAGCAGGGCCCCAGAGCCCAGGGCCACCAGCTCCGTCCCCTGCAGAACCTCTTGCCACCTCATCCTACTTAGAGGGTGGGGTACAGTGGAGGCTACATTTATAGACGCCAAGCACACAGAGAATTGTGACAGGACCTCTCCACAAGTCCAACCTGAAATAAACACTGTCAGATGATTCACTTCCTGAGAGACACATTAAGTCTTACTCAAAAGTTTTCTATGACTCCTATTATTGCATCGTTTCTCCAACTATGAATTATTGTTATCATTATCCAGAAACAATGTTTTAATTGTAGTGTAAATTTTTATTTCCTTTTGCTTCCTAGCCTTTTCATGCAGCAGAGAGGTTAAAAGTTGACAAGAGTACAGTGGGAAACGGATTTTTACGTTTTTCAATAAAGTGTCTTTGAAAATAGCAACTGTGTTTGTTCCCTTTCTCAAAAACCTTGAAGAAGGACAGAGAGGGAAAGGAGGGGAAAAGGGAAGGAGAGAGGAAAAATGACAAAGGGGGAAATAATTGAAAGGCTGGAGAGAGATAATAAAATACCGAAAAGGGAGAGAAGAGGGAACGTAAGGATGAAGGAAGAAAGAGAAAACGGAAATACTGAACGGAGAGGAGGGTGGTTTCTTGCCTGTTCGCAGTTAGCCTTAACCAGCTACCAATCCAGCAGAGTACAGCACTCTTGACAATCCAGCTGCCTTTCTGTAGGATGAATACCTCAGTCTTGCTAAGAACACAGAAACCAAAATGCATTCGAAATTTCTGGAGAACTTTGCAAACTGGGGACAGCAACAGTGGGGCGATTTCCTTCCTTCTTTTCCAGTGAACCCTGCCATCAGGAATATCCAATAGCCGGCCAGGCAGTGGTGGCACATGCCTTTAATCCCAGCACTTGGGAGGCAGAGGCAGGCGGATCTCTGTGAGACCAGCCGGGTCTACAGACTGAGTTCCAGGACAACCAGGGTTACATCTTGAAAAACCAAAAAACCAGGAGGGATATACATCACAAGAATTGCCATTAGCCATTCCAACTTCTGGGGAGAAAGCGATGTTTTTCAAATCTGCTTTCTCTAGAAAACCAAACAGTTCTCACACTTGCGTTCCCTGAAGTAAAGAATGGGGGTACCACTGATCTGTCTTTCTCTGGACACGGGCTCAGTAATCTACATCACTAAAGAGAAACTATGTCTCCCTGGACCTGTAACTAAGAGTCTGAAAATAAAACAATAGCCAATTACACCCATGCCCCCCAAGGCCCCAATACAGTAACTGCCCCCCAGTACCCTAGGTTAACACTTTTCTCACTGAAGCAGCTTGGGGCACTGTGTCTGTAATTCTAAAGGCTGCCAGGCCACATCACTTAAAAAGATACTTTCTTTCCTTCTCTGTTTGGGGAATTCCAGGCTCCTGACTTTTCTGCATTGGGCTAGGTAACTAATGCAGACCGGCAGCGCCCAGCTCCCTGCTCCCCCTAAGCTAACTGAATCAGAGGTTGCCTGAGGAACTGCATCCATACAAGGAGATGAGGTCTTCCTAGATTCCCCAGAGGCTTCCTGGAAAAAGGGGAAAAATAAGGGAAAAAAATTAGGAGAGACATTACAAGCATCTGCTAGACAGTCGCAGGAAGCTCTGATAAGGGGACAGTCTCTTCATCCTTCCATACCAGGGGGTAGGTGCGATTCCTTCAAAGAATAGCGTGCTGCTGCTGCTGGTGGTGGTGGGGATGAGGAGGAGGAGGAGGAAGAGGAGGAGCTATTTTACCCAGGACGCCTACCTAACACTTTTTTTTTTTTTGTGGTTTTGACTTCTATTTGAAATCTCTGCTTAGGCCAGGTGATTTGCACCTGTTCATTCAAGGCAACAGACATATTCAAACTATTTTTTGTTGCTGTTTTTAATTAGATTTCTCCTTCAAAACAGAAAGTGCATTACATTTCATGGGTCTCGCAAAGGGGCTGCCTTTTCTTTACAAACCGAATTCCGTATAAATTAATAAATGTTAAAGAGGCTAATATGTCACTGTTATTAGCTTAAAAAGAAAACAATTTACACATTCTATAGTATTCTTATAATACAAAACACTTCGGATTGGATTGCAGCAACTAAATGGAATTTTCATGTTCTGACCCAGAGAGCTTGCAACAATTCCCAACATCTACTTTTACGCATTTTTTATCAGAAAGGAGTTAAATTAAATACAAGATATTGTAGCCCCTCCCTCCCCAATATTTTCTTTAAATCACTAATAAATAGCAACAAACGACTGTGCAATTTCGGAAGGGAACCCAGAAGCTGGTGTGAGAAGCTTGCGGGTTCTGCAATTTCAAGTCCTGGGGGAGGACAGGGGGAGGGACTTGGGGCTGCCCGGGGGCCCAGCGAGGTCTGCCGGGTCAGCGACAGAATCGGTGAAGGAGAAAAGCCGTTCGGAAAGATCCAGAGCCCTAAGAGGAATGAGTAGGGAGGTGTCTGAGGAGGGCAACGACATTTTTTTCCCTACGATTCCCAAGTTAAAATGAAAGCAGGTCAAGTGGTGTGTTAGGTCTTAAAACCAACGGGAGGAAAGGTCCATCTCTTTATACCAAATTCCAAAAAGCATTTTACATTTTAAATATTCACAATAAAGTAACTTCTAGTCAGTGTGACTCACGATTTATTTACACAGAGCCTTCAACAGGTTACTTAGTGGGTTGAGCAGTTGTGGGCCGCGGGAGCGTCTCTTTTTCCCTAGGAGGTGGACGATTCCCACCAGGCGTTGGCTGTTGACTCTTCAGAAACACGACCCGGAGCTCAGGGACCGCAGAGCCAGGGACCGAGCCTGGATGGGGGCGGGGGGAGGGGAGGCGATGCTGAAGTCGCGGGTGGTAAGGGTCCTGGGAAGCCTTGGGGTTGCGGGTTCGGCTGCGGGTTTTTTTGCGCAGTACACTCGGCGGGCTCCCTTCCTTCTCATCAACGGCCGTCCTACCCCCAGCCCCCGCCACAATTTCTAGGTTAAAAAAATAGATATGTACATCTTAGAAAATAGTAAAGACCCGGGGAGCAGCCGGGGTGTTGGGGCCCCGGGCGGGACCGGCTGAGCGGCGCGGTCGGGGATCCCGGCGCTGCGGGCGGCGCTCAGGACGAGCCCTCGGCCTCCGACGCGTGCAGCAGGAGGCCGCCGCTGCTCGACTTGTGCTTTTTTAGCAGCTGCGTGATTTTCTCGTCATCAGAGTTCGGGTCCAGAGGCTTGTTGTAATCGTCGTCGTCTTCCTCGTTCTCCGAAGTCCCCTTGAGCCGCTCGGTCTCCGAGTCCTGTTTCTTCTTGGCCGTGGCCATCTCGGCTGCGTGCTTCTTTCTCCACTTGGTCCGGCGGTTCTGGAACCAGACCTGAGAGAGGGCAGGAGGGGGAGGCAGAGCCGGGAAGGGGGTGATTGAACGCCGGAAGACCCAGGCTCCCACCTCGCCACTCTCCCTTGCGGGCCCCCGAGGTCCAGGCGTCAAAGTCAGTCTGGTGGCCTCACTAACCCACCGCCGTTGCCATAGCGATAGTAACACAAGAGCATTGAGGCCGGCCATAAGCCATTTCTCCGAAAGAGTGAAAACAAGAGTTGCCCTAAAAATAAACTTGCTTTTCCTATGTTCCAGCAAGAAACGGAAAACTTGCTTAGTTTTCCGATAGTGGCGGATTTTAGTCCTTAATTGTATCTGTAGATTAAGAAGTTTCAAACCACTACAGTGTTGTGTGATTTGTACAGAAGAGCACAGTATTAAATCCGATTATCTCTACTGTGTTTCTCATTTTTGAACACTTGACTGCTCACTTATTAGAGGCCCGAATCCTCACTAACTTCGCTAGTCAGTCCTCCTCTCTTCTCCACAACACTTAAGATGTGTGATCCGAAGTTTTCCGATAAAATGGCAACTCCAGTTAACGCATAGCAATCAACGCAGGCACACGAAAATATTCAACAGCTCAGTGCTGAGTTTCTTTACTCACCCTCAATGTTGTTCATAAAGCTAATATTATTACCATTCGCTATCTTTAAACGGAAAGGTTGCCGGTTACATTATTTTTATTATGATCTTGCCTCATCTTTCAAACATTAGTGTAATATTGCTCCTGCCTAAGACATTCATTTTGCAATACGAATATGTTCAACCTGTTCATGATGCTTGACATGGACTGACACATGTATTTTAATGTTTACAATCGGGGGAAAAAACAACCAATTTTCTCAACATGTTGAATTGTCCTCGTTGTATGCTTCTCACCCATTATTTATTTTATCCAGGGAATTAGAACTGTTAAGAAAAGTGATTTTCTTTATATTGCTATAATAATTCATTTCTGGCCATAGGGACATATTTATGGTGGCAAATGAAGACCTCCAGATTAAGGTGGTAGACTCTCTAGCCACCCGCTGCAAAAATAATTTCTAATGTGATAGTTTTCTAATGGCCACGTGAAAAAAACTCGATTGAAATATATTGTAAGATGCTTGCCTAGCAGGGAAATAAACTTTTAAGTAGCTTGGTGATATTACTTCTTAATGAGAAACAATATAACTAAAGAAAGCCGACTCCACACACACACACCCTAAAGAAACAAATGCAACAAACTGAAGTGGACAAAGAGAACACAGAAAGCCAGTAAACCATCCCATTGAATTTACCCAGCAGGTTCAATCCCTTTACTTTCAGGGACAGATTTCTGAAAGTTGATTCCCCAGAAATGAAGTACACAACTCAATTATAGCCAGAGAGACATCTTATTTGGAAATTGTCATAAACTGCACTGTCTTAATTCTGCAGATAAACTTGCTTTTAAGAGAATGCAACCCTAAAATTCACTAACAATCTTGCCAGCTCACTTGGAAAATGACTACTCCAAAGCAATTGTATTCGTCTAAGCCAAAGCAAGTTATCAGTGCTACGTTCTTCTGGATTCATTTCCCTTTCACCTACAAATTAATATCGCACTGCAATTAATATAGATGCTCCCCGTAAGGAAATTATATATCTAGTGGGGCCTGAATTGACAAACAGAAGCTTGAGTGTCTTTGCAAATAAAACAAATCAAACTTTCTAATCGGCTCGATCTGTGCTCAGGGCTATCTCCTTAGTGCTTTTATTCTCTGCTAAGGGCGAGTTCCCCCAGCACAAGCTGCAGTCTAGATTAGCCTAATTTCTAAGGACTTGACTCCTTTTGTTCATCAACAGTTTGCCTCCAAAAGACCCTAGGGCCTGTTCGACCCCAACCCTCTCATCGGCTCCCCACTTCTCCCCAGGCTCCCGATAGCGCACCCCACCTCCACCAGGATTGTCAGTTTGGGGAGGGGGAAAATACAGGCGCGTGGGTATGAACACACACACTCACACGCACGTTCGGGAACGCTATCCCTGGAGGTGTCAAAAGTCCACTCACCTTGACCTGACTCTCCGTCATCCCCAAAGAATAGGCCAAGCGAGCTCTCTCTGGCCCTGCCAGGTACTTCGTTTGTTCGAAGGTCTTCTCCAGAGCGAAGATCTGTTGGCCAGAGAACGTGGGTCTAGTGTGTTTTCTCTTCCCATCTTTGTCCAACAAAATGGATCCCTGATCTGCAAGAACCGATATCATAATCAGAGAGGGATGAGGCAACCAGTTACAGTGCTTCATGGGGGAGTGGGAGCAGGGAGAGAATTATCAAAGCTAGGCTCAGTCGCGTTTGCAGTACATGCTCATCCGTGGTCTGTGCCGGAGGTGCACCCCGAGCTTCCTTTTGCCGGCTTCTGCTCACTACTTTTGTCGAAGCCAGGTGCAGTTGGGGCAGCAGTAAATACTTTATGCTTAACCACAGCGCCAAATAACTAGGGAGGCCACTGCTGAAGAGTGCGGTGCTGAAATGGGACACCACCCCCTTAAACTAAGCAGGAATGCATGAGAAAGGTCACCCTCGCCTCCCGGGTTAGTCTCTGTGCGCCTGAAAGAGAAGTAGTTTGGTATGAAGGTAACTGAATTTATATATATATTATTTCCCTTAGTCACTCCCCTAACCTGTGTTGGTCAACAAAAGGCTCCTTGTGTTTTGCACAATTGAGAGCTAACTGGTCCCTATTCTGAGGCCCCTGTGGGCTGGAGGAAGAGAACGAAGTGGGGGGGGGAGGGCACAGCTTATGTCTATCCCTACAATCAACACTGATACACGTCCCCAACACCCCAATAACCCTAAGGAGTCCCCTTCCCAAGAAAGCCTCACTTGGTTTCCTCAGTTACTGAAGTTATTGCCACTAAGCCCCAAATAAGGAGGCCCAGTGACTTGGACTAACTTCAGGGACTTGGTCACCAGCAAAGAACAGAGTGGGAGAAGGATCTGAGCAGGGCCCTGGACGCCATCTGGGGGCGAGGAGCCTTCTAGGAGCTGGGGCTCACTGGCCAGAAGCCTACCCAGATCTTGGGTCATCGAGGTGACCCAGACAAAGTCTTTGGGAGCTATGTTTTACTGCTGCGTCCTGTCACGGGTCATATTTCTCTCCCTCTCTTTTCTTGTGTTAAGCCAGTGAGTGTTGAAATGCCTCTTCTTTGTAACCAGATCCAACTTGCCAAGGACCCTGGGGTCCAGGAGTAGGGAGAGCCCAGGCCCCGGTCTGGGAACCACCGGCCCTGTCGTCAACGGACTAGCTGTGAACAAGTGTGTTGGGGGTGCGCGGGGAGACGACTAAAATGTGAGCTGGAGTGGCGGGGGGAGATGTGCGTGCAAATGCCTGCTTTTCTTGGGGCTATGGGTAGTTGTCCTGCCCTCCTGGGTTTGCGGTAAACACGGGTCAGGCTACTGAAGGCCTGACTCTGGTTGGCTGGAAAGAGCCAGAAAAACAGGAGTGCAGAGGCCTTCTCCCTCTCCTGCCACTTTCCAACTTTGTAACCCAAAGTTGGTCCGTTTCAGGAGCAGCCCAGACAAAACCTCACCCTCCGACGCTTGCTCCTGAGACTTGACGAACTCAGGAAATCTCGCATCCCTCGCTAGAAGCCCGGGTCCAGGCAACAGCATGCTGTTCTAGTACTGCCAAACTAGTGGGGTGTCCAGGAGGACCGACCCATCCGCAGGCACACTAGGCACCGTGACCCGAAAGCAGGCATAGGAAACAGGGATCCAGGCCCGCGATAGTACTCACGCGGGGTACAGGCCAGGCGTGCGTCCCTCCAAGGCGGGCTCTGCATCACCCCGGGCCAGAAGATGGGCGTCCTGCCGGGCAGCTCGGCCAGGGGCTTGGGGTACCGGCCCACGGCGGCCACGGCTGCAGCGCTGGGGCTGAAGTAGAGCCCGGGCGGTGGCGGCGGCGGGCTCAGGCTGCTGAAACGGGGCAGGCCGGCCAGCAGCCCGGCGGGCGAAGAGGCGGCGGCGGCAGCGGCCGCAGCAGCAGCGGCTGCGGCCGCAGAGGCCGAGGTGGCAGAGGCGGACGAGGAGGTGGAGGAAGAGGACCCCGAGGGAGAGGCGGAAGGGAGGGCGGCCCCCGAGGCCACCGGCATGGAGGGCCGGCTCAGAATGTCGTTAATGCCGTGCGGGGTGGCGGCCGAGAGCTGCTGCGGGGGGCTGTTCAGGGACGAGAGGCCCCCCGCGGCCGGGGGCTTCAAGCCGCCTGGATTGTGAGAGCCCAAAGGCGGGGAGGGCGACGAGGACGAGGAGGACGAGGAGGAAGAAGGGGGCCCGGTGGGCAGCGGGGGGTAGGCGGCGGGGTACAGCGGGGTCTTCATCTCGGCCATGCTGTGCAGGGCGGCCAGGGGCGGACTGCTGAGCAGGAACGCGCTCTGCCGGGGGCCCTCCATCGCCCCCACAGCTAACATCCCACAGCCAGGCCCGAACCCGCAGGCGCGCAGGCCGGTGGCCCCGCTGGGGCTCTGGAGAGCCCGATGCGCCGGGGGTGGGCTCGGCTCACTGGGAGGCGACCGGCCAATGGAACCGGGACCGCGGGCGGCCGGAGCTGCTGTCCGAGCTGCGCAGCAGAAATGTCCAAACGCCCCGCTGGAGGAGGCGACGGTCGAGGACCGCTGGAGAGCTGGCGGGTTCGGCGCTGCCTTGGTTCGGAGAGTCCCGGACTTTGGTCCCTGGCGCTCGTCCCTCGTCCGTAGAAGTAGAAGCTCAGAGGGCTCTACTTCTCCTCTTCTCCACCCCCGCGGGAAATCACCAAAACAAGCCCGGAGCCGGGCCCTGAGAGTTTGCAACAACGCTGGAAGCCACCGAGCGTACACTTTGATGTAGGAGGGTGGGGGCTGGCTCGCCGGCTTTGGGGAGCTTCAAAGGGAGCCGCGTTTCGCCCGGTGCGCGCCTCTAATCTCTCTCGGACTCCCAGCGCTCGCCGCTGCGCAGCTGATTCGCACTCGCCTCTCGCTCGGGGGACAGAGCGCAACTGACCCGCGCGGGGATCGCGCCTGCCACGGCCGCGGGCCCGGAGCTACTGAGCCAGAAAGGGCAATGTCACTGCTCCAGCGGCCTGGGGACTTGGCGCGTCCACGCGCCTGCTTCCCCTTTGGGCCACGCGGCGCCCGAGTAGCGGTAACGAAAAGGATTAAAGAGGAAAAGAAAAAGAAAGAAAAAAACACTTAAGTGTGAAAAGTCTGACGGGTCGGTTCCCGCTCCGACCGTCCTTCCGCTTCTGCAAACTGGCCCGGAGACCCCCGCCCCACCCCCTGACGCCCTCTCTTCCTCTCACTCTCCGCCTTTCTCTCTCCTCTCTGGCATTTCTCCTTGGCTTTCCAGGCTTGGCTCTTCTAAACCCTGTCCTCTGGCCAAACTGACCCTCTCGCGGCTCTTCCCTTCTCTGCTCTCTCCCTCCGGGCCTGACAGTTCAGATGAAGCTCTCAAAGGTAATAAAACATTTGCACCCCTCCCTGCCGCTCTTTAGCTGGGGGACGCCAGGGAGGGGCGGTGGGGGGCCAAAATGAGAACTTTCAGGGACGTCACCACTCTGGGGCTGCTCGGCGGGGTGGGACTGAGGAGCGGGGCGCAGGTCTGGGCGTAACCACCGCCTCCAATAGCACTCAGCTTCTGCCTGGCCTCGCTCCTCGGGCACGCCCACCAGAGAGCGCCACATCCTCTGATTGGCTGAAGTTAGGAAGTCGTAAGGCCGCGCCCTCCTAGTCCCCTCCCCGGCGTCCCTTGGGCGGAGCCAAAAGGGGAGGGACCTGGCGAGAAGACTGTGGTTCCAGCCCAGAGCCAGAGGCCCCGCTCAATTAATTGTGCAAAATAAAATGGAAAAGGGGAGGAGGGAGCAGGAACGAAGAGGGTATTACTTTTTAAAGACAGGAATAATGAAAAGCCAGCCCTTTTATGGAAAAGTAGTTTAAGTTCGTGCCTTCCGCCCACATCAGCTCGCGTCATCCTCTCTTCCCCCACCAGCTCTCGGCGCCTCACCTCGAATGGTGTCTGGACCCTTGCAAAAGAAACGGAGCTAATGGAGCAGGCAGCCGGCGCATCCCAGGCCGGGTTCCTTCTTTTGAAGGGATTAATTAAAGGCCATCTGGGCTCTTGCAGAATTGTGTAAATTAATTTGTTTCTCCTTAAACCTATAGATGTCCTTAATCCCCTCGCAGGCCTAAGGGTCATCCTTTCCCATCTTTCCTCCTCCTTCTCTTTTCTGTTCCTTCTCCATTTTGATTTTCATTCCTGAGCACCCCTCCCCACCGTTTTCACTTGGCGGGGGGGGGTCTCATTGCTCTAGGAACGAAATCAGCTTAATGGAAATATTTATCTCTTGCGTGGTGTCCAAACCTAAGAGGAATGAGACGAATAATAATAATAATAATAATAATAATAATAATAATAATAATAAATACTCCCTCTATTATTATTAGTTGGATTCACAGGAGGCAGAATGACTGAAATTCAGGCGGCAACTTTAGATACAGGAATACCTCCAGAATGTCCTGTCAAATTCTCAACTCCGAGCTGTTGAGGAAGCAGGAGAAGCTGGGACTTGAAGGCTGGGATTGGGAGCAATGGTCAGAAGGGCTTTGCTCCCTCTGACTGGTCTTTAAGTTCTGGTCAGGGTTGACCTAAGCCCTCGCTTGGGTCGACCTTGAAGAATCAGGCAGTTAATGGGCCAATGTGTGTTGGGGGGCGGGGGGATCGTCACAGAGATCTGCATGAGGTTACTAAATCCAAATTTAAGGCTCAGAAAACAGAAATAAAATGCAACAAATGACCCAAGAATAAAAATTGAGCTGCACCAGGGAGTTTGAATGTCAAGACGCCTTTGTTAGTCCAAGCAGGAGACCTTAATCACCCCCACCTTTCCACCCTTTCCCAAGCTTGAGTCTTCTACGGGGTTGAGTTTGAAATGTAAGAGCAAAGCCAAGCAGTTAATCAGCCTTTGCCCCTTTCGTTCACTCCGAGTCCGGGGATAATATTTGTCTTCCTCTATCTGTCCCACCTTTATTAACTTCAAGACTTGGCTAATGCCATCTTTTCATAGACTTTAGGATCTGAACTAGGAACGGTGGGGTTCTGCATGGATGGGAGGTATGTTAAGAGACCGCCAGCCTCTGGCTTCTGAGGAGAGCTGAAGTAGGCACTGTCTGCACTTCCATGCGCCTCTGCACCTAAACCAAATTCGCCGCCAGCCAAATTCGCGGGGAGACTTCAGAGGCGATAGTGGCGGTGCAGTCACCGGTCCTGGTTCTGGCTTCCTCACAAACCTCTCCCACTCGGATCCAGCATTTCGGCGGTGGCATAAGGTCAGCCTGCACCCGAATCTTGGGCCTCCAGGGAATCTGCTCAGGGCCTCCGAGAAGGAAGGGCGTTCGCAGGCACTAGGTAGGAACTGAGAAAACGAAGCTACTGGTCTTGCAAATTAGCCGCTCCAAAAGTGCCTATCCTTGTAGATACTGTAATACGCAAAAAGATGGTAGTTTTAGAAACGATTATTTTTCTATTGAGAATTTAGTATCTGGTGTTGGGAAGGAGATGTTAAAAAGAGACCCGAAAGAAAGACAAAAGGAGAGAGAGGCACACAGATAGAGACAGAGACAGATGGACACACACACACACACACACACACACACAGAGAGAGAGAGAGAGAGAGAGAGAGAGAGAGAGAGAGAGAGAGATCCGTCAACTCCAGTTTAACTGTACTTGCTAGTTACAAAGCTGGGTTTGAAATGAAGAAGTCTCGTCCGTTGATTCTGTAACTGTCATTCACGTTGTAGAAATCAAACTAGTATGATTCTTAATTCTAGCAATAAAAGATTATGGGACCTGTGTCCTTGGTCCTCGATGGGTGAATTGGGTGCCTAAATCCTCCGGCAGGCAGCATTCCGCATTCACTCTGCCAGCCTCAGAAGAAAGGCGGGTGCCTCTAGCCAGGTTATGTCGGGAATCTGCCCCCAGCATCCCAGGAGAGTGAGCTGCTCGGTTCATTCGGGTAGAGATCGCTTTGCCCTCTACTGATCCACTCTGGCCCAGGTTCTGCCAGGCACTGCCTGGTGGGCTCCAAATACCCTTGGGACTACAGACTTGGTTTTCCTTGGGGGAACTACCCGGGCCTCCAAGCTCTTATACCCACTTCCCACTAAAGAAGGTCTAAGGGTCGGTCCCTGTTCTTTCCAACACTATGTTTCTATATGTATACAGCTATATATCGGGGAGGGGCAGGCTGTGCTTGAAAGCAAATGATTTGCATTTTAATTAAAAATAAATGAAAGCTTTTGGCAAATCCGAAGTTGCAGGAAGGGTTCACAGGGCCGCCTTGAGGAAGATGATCTGCCCCTGGACTTTAAGCCTGGGGGACAGTGGCTCTCTGGTGCCCGGATTCCAGTTGCTGCCTACTCCTGGGAACTGCAGCTTGCGGGATCCACTGGGCTCTGCATTCCCCCTTGACCTTTGACTCAGAGCGCCACACCACGCGCTATTGATACTTCTGCTTTAAGAGAAAGGAGCCGTCATTAGATCCAGGGTGACACATAGGGTGAACGCGAATGAAACCCCAGCTAACTGTACATCGGCTCCTCCTCGAAGATACCAGTGCCTCTGCCCCGATTATATTAGTGTCAAATGTGGGGATGCTCGAAGGTGCTGTGGAAAAGCTATTGCTACAAAGGGGGGGGGGGCTGGGGATTATGTGTTTCGGACAAAACAAAAACAAACAAAAACAAAACAAAACAAAACAAAAACAACACACACTAAACAACAAGAAGTCTCTTCGGAACCTGTTTTGTGTAACCCGCTGGAAGACTAACCATGCCACAACAGGATTGGGGCCTGTTTTGGCTGAAAAAGAAAGGTTAGTTTTAAAATAATGTTAACAAAATGAGCAGTGGCTACAAAGAAATACAAGGAAGACACAAGAATGTCCCCAAACTGGCCCAGCCTGCTCTAGGGAACAGACGGGTGGTGGGGTCAGGGGAACATTAGTGGGTCTCTTTGCGGTTAAATGTCGTCGGGTGGGAACCGGACCCGAAAGTTCTGCCAAAGGGGAAGGAGATTAAGAAAGGAGAGCAAGACCCTGTCAACCCACACCTGGGCAGGCAGTGAAGGCCCTGGTGGCTAGCGCAGGGTGGGAGTGGTGGGGGTTGTGTGCCCTCCCTGCTCACCCTTAAGGAAGCGCCAGCAGATGCATGGTGAGATCTTCTACCAAAAGACTCAGAACCCCTCTCCCGGACTTGCCTCAGCCTCCTTGGGGGCTGCCTTCCCCGCAACCGGCAGCCCAGCACCCCTGCAAAACAGCTGCAGCACGCAACCCTGTGAAACAAGAACAGGAGCGTCCCACCGGAGGATTCCGAAAGGACCTCAGAAGACGGGAAAGAGCAAAACTTTAAATATGCATAAGTATCTTCAAACAAACAAAGCAGATAGACGTAGGAATGCCAATATACGGCTTTTCAAATGAAAATCACCCCTCTGCGCATCCCCCAAACCCTTGGTTTGCAATCTTAGTTTCCTTTGAAGTATATATTCTGGAATACATACAGATGGAGAATCATATGGTTGAAGGAATGCCCGTTCTAGAGTTAACTCACAGAGGAAAATGCTAGGTCAGTCTAATGCCTCAGATTTGATCTGATGTGCACAGTTTTGATTGACAAGCTTACATAACGACAGGCAACATGCATGGTTTTTGATAGACTCCATAAACCGGTTCCTCCCGTGGGATTAATCGCCTGAGTGTGTGGGCGTTGGTCCTTGTCTGTCTCCCGGGTGCAGCTTCTTATTCTTCTGTCCGGGCGGCGGCTGGAAAGTTATTTTATTCGTGTAGCCTATTGGCCTACACCCGCTTGTGAAACTTTGTGCAGTTATCGCCCTCTTGTGGGGAAAAAATTCCTAACATTTTCCTTGGGCCCAAGGAAGAACTGTGGGCCCACTGCCTTGGGTTGTCAGTGGCACAGGCTGCCTGAGTGTAATCCCCGTGTGGTTCATTAGCATTTGATAATTTCTTTATTATCTGCCGAATTCTTGACGTGAAGGATGGGTTCCATTAGCTTTGCTTTAAGTCAGGTGCCACAACCCTTCTGGAATGAACGTTTAATGTTTAAGTCTTTCTAACTATGGTGATTCACACTGCTACTTGGCTTCATTGCCACTTTAATCTGAATTATGTTGGCTTTCTGCTTTCTTCTCTGCGCATCAAGTGGAATTTTGCTCA